CTTTTCTTTTCTGTAACTAAAGTTTATCCAACCAAGATTTAAATGTATTCGTTATTGTTACCATATATTTCTTTGTGATGCATTGATTTTTCTTTAATTTATTTTTTGACTTTCATTCCATACCTGTTGATTGAGGTAAGTGATGCATGTCTGAGATTTTGGAGCACATATGGGTATTGCTTACAAATGATTTTTTCCTGTTGGTATGAGCTTCTTCAAGAGTTACTGGATTTTTGTGGTTTTGCAGCTATAAGTGTAGATCCCAGTCGCGAGGCAGTAGCTCCTATGATGAAGGTGCGGAAACATCCTCCTAGTGCTAGTCGTGTGCAACTTCCTGATGGTAGATTCATGGCTTATCATGAGCAAGGTGTTTCCTCTGAAACAGCTAGATTTTCAATTGTTGCTCCGCATTCTTTTCTTTCGTCCAGACTAGCAGGTAAAACGAGTTGAAATTTTAGGCACCAGAAGAGCTTTTTGGGTGTGGAGCAACTAATCTTATTCTACTTTTTGGCAATGGAAGGTTTACCTGGAGTCAAATCATCGTTGCTTGAAGAGTATGGCATTCGCTTCATCACATATGATCTTCCTGGTTTTGGGGAGAGTGATCCTCATCCCAACAGAAATCTCAACTCATCAGCCATTGATGTTCTGCATCTGGTCAATGCTATCAATGTTAGTGATAAGTTCTGGTTACTGTGCCACTCCACTGGATGCATTCATGCTTGGGCTTTTCTCAGATATGTTCCTGAAAGAATTGCAGGTTGTACATCTTTTTAAGCTTTCTATTTTCTAGATACCTATAAGTTGCTCGTAAAAATTCCTCCAACTTCAAACAAAGGAAGGGATGATAGAAACCAAACAATTACTGAATATCAAAGTTGTATTATTTAGAGTATTATGCAGTAAAAAGATGATTGAGCTGAAAGCAATACAGCCACAGGAAAACCCCAGATTCCTAGACTCCTTCAGAGGATTATTCTCCTCCTAACCAACTCACAACCTCCTACTCCAGTACCCCACACTCTCCCTACTCTCTCTTATAACAGAATTCCCCCATCCTTGGATTCTTGGCACGTCATTCCCCATCCTAACTAACTTCTCCCTATTTCTTTCTTCTTACATACACATTCCATATTTTGGGCCTATCTATTCCTTCTATAATTTTTCCTTGTTACCATTAACAAGCCCATGTGCACTTCCCATGATCCTTATTAGGAGTCCTATGATTACTCCCTTCTGCAACAGCAGCCTTGTCCTCAAGGCTGAAAGAAGGAAATTGACTCTGCAGTAGCACCTCACCTTCCCAAGTTGTCTCTTTCTCTGTTCTTCCCTTCCATTCCACCAATCATTGTTTGATGATGTTACCGCCCTTCGGAATCTCCTTGGCTGCTAGCGCTGCCTCCGGCTCTTCCTTATCTTCATCCTCAAGAGTCAACTTTGTTGGTAAAGTCGGTTCTATTGTCTGGTTTTCAATAGCCTTTTTCAGTTGGGAAATGTGAAAAACTGGATGTTCTTTGGTTGATTCTGGCAACTGCACCTTATAAAACACTTCTCCAATTTCTGCCCAAGGTTCCCAATATGACCAATTCTTGGGTTGTTTCGACACAAAACATTGTAAATAAGCTTCTAAACATCGGCTTACCACTTCCGTTTGACCATCGGTCTCAGGATGATAACAAGAACTCATTTTCAGAGTTGTTCCCTGTAATCGAAATAATTCAATTTCCTTAGCAAGCAATTCAGCAATTTTCCTTGTAGTGTAAGGATGTTTCAGCAAAATAAAGTGGCCATATTTAGACAATCATCCACCACTACAAGTATAGCTTGAAACTCTTTCGAATTTGGTAAACTTGTAATGAAGTCTAAAGAAATATCTTCCCAAATTCTATTCGGAATAGGCAAGGGCTGAAGTAATCTTGTTGGAGACATTGCTTCATATTTTTTTAGTTTCTGACCTCGTAGTTCTAGATATTTGTCTTGCCAAAGGAAACTTAGAGTCATCTCTTCCCAATCAAAAGTAACCTTCCCAAATCTTCGCAACCAAAAAACTCCCAAAATCGTGTCTATGTCTTCCAACTCCAACACATATGGCTCCACCGTAGTAGAGAATTCTCCTAGTTGAACGTCCAACTTCTCACATTTTCCCGTAGTAGAGACCCTGTGCCGATATCCTAGATGCACCCCAATCATTTTTCTTTTGTCCACTTTCAACTCCAGAGCAGCCACTACATGAGGAGAGATGAAATTGTGACTAGCCCCACTATCAATCAGCACTCCCAGGGTTACTCCATTGAGACGACCTTTTATGTGCAGAGTTGAAGGGCGATTCCGACCATCCCACGACACTTCAACCTCTGCAAACAGCTCCATAGAACCACACTCCAAGGTACGGTCATCTTCCTCTTCTCGCATCCCCCTCTCGATCACCTCCCCCGCTTCGTTTACTGTTTCGTCGTCAGCTAACACCACTATTCTCAGTTGCCGCTCCGTACATCGATGCAAGGGGTGGTATTTTTCACCGCATCTAAAACAAAGCCCCTGAGCTTTCCTGGTCATCAATTCAGAATATGGCAAATCCTCCGTGCCGCGATTCCGATCGGTAGTCGAAGAACGATCACCGGAAATGCGACTGCTTGTGTCACCGAACGTGACTCGTGAGGGCTTGAACTCCCTACCAATAAGGGTTTAGTTTGTGTGCTCTGGGTTGGACCTAAACCCACTCCTAATCTCCCTAAATTTGGGCCTTGACCCGACCCGGATCCAAACTTCTCTCCTAGACCCGTACCCCAATCTCGATTGCTTTTCCAACCCCGTACTCCTCCTCCATGCTGAAATCCCTCTCATAGCAATTTTGCTTCCACATCTCAAGCTAGGCGCATGGCTTGGAGACGATTCACAAGGTTGAAGGTGCGAACCCTTCGCCGAATCTCCGATCGCAATCCTCCAATAAAATAGCCCAGATATTGCTCCTCTGGTAAACGAGATACGTGAGACGATATATTCTCAAACTCTGCCAGGTACTCATCTACGCTACCCGTCTGCGACAAGTCTTTCAACTCCTCGAAAGGATTATCGCTAGTACGACCACCATAACTATCGATCAACTCCCTTTTTAACTTGGTCCAAGACAACCCCACCTATACTTCTTGTAGAAGATTGAACCAATGAATGGTTGCACCTTCCATACTCAACTTGGCCAATCAGACCTTCACCTCTTTTGTATAGCCTTACACTTCAAAATATGTCTCTGCCCTCATAATCCATCCAACAGGGTCAATACCATCAAATGATGGCAATTCCACCTTCTTAGCTGCCATCCTATACTCTGCACCTGAATCCATATATGAAAATGGAGATTCTCGACGATCTCCCACTTGCTCGTTACGCAACTTAGTAAACTCTTCCAACATTAATTGGCGAAATTCCCCCAACGTCTCACGTACTGACACTTCCATCGCTAACAATCTTTCCTTAATGCTTCAACTGTCAGACATTTTGGGTGGCATGGACAGCAATGCTAGCTGTTCTCGGTATTCGGCAGGTCGGACTAATGATAGAAACCAAACAATTACTGAATATCAAAGTTGTATNCTCAACGATTTTCTCCCCGAGGATCGCGATCCCGTTCATGCTTGGTCCATTGTGTTCTTCGTTTTCATTCTCGCGCTGGCGGGTACGCTACTCCTCCTCCTCTCTCGTACAATCTATTTTGCTTTTTCTTTTGCCCAATCATGGTATGTGCTACTCAGGACTCTACACTGGACTTGTTAGATTAAAGAAGTAACAATAGGAGAACAGAATAAACTCAGTTTTTCATAAATTAAAATTAACTTACGTGAAACTTTTCTCTAACATTTTTTATATTTGAACTTGTCTGTTATAAGTTAATCTTAATTTATAGAGTTTTTATTTTTTTGGTTTTTGGTAAAAGTATTTCATTAGCTCAAACCAATTTATATTTATCTCAATCTAAAAAGAAAAAAGTCTAATGAAAGATTCATAGGTTAAGTGTTCGTATAGTAGGCGAAGGAAATATAAAAAAAAATGAAATAATTAATTGTCTTTAGTTATAGTGTTAATGGAGAAATTAATGGGTCTTACTTTTCTTTTCTGTAACTAAAGTTTATCCAACCAAGATTTAAATGTATTCGTTATTGTTACCATATATTTCTTTGTGATGCATTGATTTTTCTTTAATTTATTTTTTGACTTTCATTCCATACCTGTTGATTGAGGTAAGTGATGCATGTCTGAGATTTTGGAGCACATATGGGTATTGCTTACAAATGATTTTTTCCTGTTGGTATGAGCTTCTTCAAGAGTTACTGGATTTTTGTGGTTTTGCAGCTATAAGTGTAGATCCCAGTCGCGAGGCAGTAGCTCCTATGATGAAGGTGCGGAAACATCCTCCTAGTGCTAGTCGTGTGCAACTTCCTGATGGTAGATTCATGGCTTATCATGAGCAAGGTGTTTCCTCTGAAACAGCTAGATTTTCAATTGTTGCTCCGCATTCTTTTCTTTCGTCCAGACTAGCAGGTAAAACGAGTTGAAATTTTAGGCACCAGAAGAGCTTTTTGGGTGTGGAGCAACTAATCTTATTCTACTTTTTGGCAATGGAAGGTTTACCTGGAGTCAAATCATCGTTGCTTGAAGAGTATGGCATTCGCTTCATCACATATGATCTTCCTGGTTTTGGGGAGAGTGATCCTCATCCCAACAGAAATCTCAACTCATCAGCCATTGATGTTCTGCATCTGGTCAATGCTATCAATGTTAGTGATAAGTTCTGGTTACTGTGCCACTCCACTGGATGCATTCATGCTTGGGCTTTTCTCAGATATGTTCCTGAAAGAATTGCAGGTTGTACATCTTTTTAAGCTTTCTATTTTCTAGATACCTATAAGTTGCTCGTAAAAATTCCTCCAACTTCAAACAAAGGAAGGGATGATAGAAACCAAACAATTACTGAATATCAAAGTTGTATTATTTAGAGTATTATGCAGTAAAAAGATGATTGAGCTGAAAGCAATACAGCCACAGGAAAACCCCAGAATCCTAGACTCCTTCAGAGGATTATTCTCCTCCTAACCAACTCACAACCTCCTACTCCAGTACCCCACACTCTCCCTACTCTCTCTTATAACAGAATTCCCCCATCCTTAGATTCTTGGCACGTCATTACCCATCCTAACTAACTTCTCCATATTTCTTTCTTCTTACATACACATTCCATATTTTGGGCCTATCTATTCCTTCTATAATTTTTCCTTGTTACCATTAACAAGCCCATGTGCACTTCCCATGATCCTTATTAGGAGTCCTATGATTACTCCCTTCTGCAACAGCAGCCTTGTCCTCAAGGCTGAAAGAAGGAAATTGACTCTGCAGTAGCACCTCACCTTCCCAAGTTGTCTC